AAAAAAGAAAAAAAAAAGAGGGCTCCCATGTCATTCACAGCCCCCCCCCCCCCCCCCCACCAAAAAAAAGAAAGAAAGAGGGCTCCCATGTCATTCACCATGGATTCGTCTCTGTTTGAATATGCTTGTATGTTAAAGTTAAAAGCTTTTATGAATTACAATGCGTTTTTGAATGATACATGTTTCTTTATGCAGAAAAAGGCGGTGTGTCAACAGTTTTAATTATAGCCATTGTCATTCCCATTGCTGTTTCTATCGCGCTTTTGAGCATGTGTTTCTGTTTCCTGAGGAGGGCAAGAAAGATCAGAGATTATGTGCCAGAAAATGATGGTAAAGAACATTAGAAATCTTTTTTAATTGGGAAACAAAACAAAAGCAGTTTTTTTCTGTTTTGTACACTGCCTAATATTTTCAAAAGCTCAAAGGAATATCTACTTGTGTTGTGTAGATGGAAATGAGATTACCACCGAGGAGTCCTTGCAATTTGATTTGAGTACTGTAGAAGCTGCCACGAACAATTTTTCCGCTGATAACAAGTTAGGTGAGGGAGGATTTGGTGAGGTTTACAAGGTAAGCAATTCGTAAAGCATTTAAATGGGAGGATTTGGTGAGGTTTACAAGGTAAGAAATTCGTGATGCGTTTATTTCAAGAACAGGAAATAACTTGTTGCATTAGGATTTATAAATCCCTTGCTCAAACATCGGTGAAAGTGCTTTCTCAGGGAACACTTTTTAATGGACAGCAAATAGCTGTGAAGAGGCTATCAAGAAATTCTGGACAAGGTGCAGCAGAATTTAAGAATGAGGTTGTATTGGTAGCCAAGCTTCAACACAGGAATCTAGTGAGGATGCAAGGGTTTTGCTTGAAAAGAGAAGAAAAGATTCTTGTCTATGAATTTGTCTTCAACAAAAGCCTTGACTACTTTCTATTTGGTATATATCGATGATTTTCTAAATGTTCTTCTCATTTCCTTTTAGTACGAGAAACGAGTATTTGCCTCTAGGAATATAGTCGATTCTTCGTAATCAGGCACATTTGTCTTTGAAACAGTTGATCTGCACTCTGACTTGAAGGTTCTATTTTCTTGATTTTATAGACTCTGAAAGGCAAGGACTGTTGGACTGGTCCAAACGGTACAAAATAATAGGAGGCATTGCTCGAGGAATTCTTTATCTTCACGAGGACTCTCGACTAAGAATTATACATCGTGACCTCAAAGCAAGCAATATTCTGCTAGATGGAGATATGAACCCCAAAATCTCAGATTTTGGCTTGGCTAGGATTTTCGTAGTCGATCAAACTCAAGCAAGTACCAATAGAATAGTTGGAACATAGTAAGTTTGGATCTAATTCCCATTGATTAGTAAATTCATTTGCTGACAGAGTGCTTTCATTTCGTTTTTTACTAATCATTTCTCTGTTTTTCTGGTTTGTAGTGGTTATATGTCTCCAGAATATGCAATGCATGGGCGTTTCTCTGTCAAGTCTGATGTCTATAGCTTTGGTGTCTTAATCCTTGAGATTATAACCGGAAAGAAGAACAGTTCCTTCTATCAAACAGGGGGTGCTGTAGACCTTGTGAGCTATGTGAGTGCAAGTTTTTCTCTCTTGAAAACTAGACCTTGTGAGCTATGTGAGTGCAAGTTTCTCTCTCTTGAAAACAAAAGGCATAAGATGTAGCAACTTTTGACCATTCAATTTTCTTTTTTCAGGTTTGGAAACATTGGAGAGATGGGACACCATTGGAAGTGCTGGATCCAACTCTGACATATACATATTCAAGAAATGAAGTAATTAGATGCATCCACATTGGATTGCTATGTGTTCAAGAAGATCCAGCTATCAGGCCCGCAATGGTAACAATTGTTCTCACACTCAATACTTACTCGGTTACCTTACCATTACCTCAAGAGCCTGCTTTTTTTTTCCATAGCACTATAACAGATGAAGTGAACAGTTCAAGCAAGGAATTTCTTTTAGAACATTCTAAAAGCAAGTCTGTTGCTTATTCTGTTGATGAAGATTCAATTACTGAAGTATATCCTCGATAGGGAGTATATGAATTTTCTCTAAAATAATCCTCGAGAAAAACATGAGGTCAATTTTTCAGTACCGAACACTTTACAATTGTAATTTTTATTGTTTAAGAATAAAACACACAAGTACTTGGATGAATGTCCCAAATTTTATTGATTAGCTTCTACACACACTCCGCTCCGCTGAATATATTAATCCTCAAATTATAATAATTTAATAAAGATTCTAACTTACTAATTAACCAAAGCTTCTAAGTAATTAATCTAACACAAATCCCTTTTTTTTATCAAAGATTCCTACCCAAACAATGATTATAACTGATATCTAACAATAATTAATATTTTTAAACACTCAGTTTAATAATGAAGGATTTTTTTTTTAATCTTGTCTTGAATATTCATCTTACACCAATGATCTTTCATCCTTTTAGAAGATCTATTAATTCCTGAGTATTGTTTTTTTAATACTATCAATTTTACAGTGCATGGACTTTTATCACTTTATTTATTTTACAACATTTTTAAAAGTTATAGGATCACACAATAAAAATAAAGCAATATGAGTAAATAAATCATTAGATTGATTGATTTTTATTATTTCATAACCATTATTTATGCAGGTTTTTTTCTAGTATGTTATAATTATTGATCATTATTTGTTGAAGTTATCAGTGGAATTTGATCATCTACTAATTGTAATGATTTTTACGAACCTCTCTGTTTCTGATCATTAACTTTCTTTGTAGTTAAGGCAATTTGTTCCACCTCTTACCTCGCATTTTTTTTCTTCTAGCTGAAAGGTTTTCTTTTTATATAAAATAGCTTTTTATTTCTTCATGTTTTTTATCAGTATTACTCTAGAGTTCTCTTTTTTTTTCATCTCAATGACCAATAAAAAAGTCTGCATGTTACTTCTAAATCCTATTGAACGATTTAGAGCATTCTTACTCTATTTTATTTATAAGATCTTCGTATTCATGATTTAGTGACTCAATATTTTGGTGATGTTGATCTCATACTGCTTTTTTCTCTAGTTGAAGACTATCACACTCATCTTTAAAAAAACTTTAGAAACAATTTATCTCTCATTGCTACACTTTCGACTTCCTTCCTCAGTTATTTGCTTCTTTCATTAATCAACTTTCACTCCGTTTAATATCATATTCATCCTACGATATGTACTGATCTTGTGCATTAGTACCATGGATCGATTGTCGCGTTCATTTCCCATCAATCTCACATTTATCCCATCCAGTTAGCTTGCCTCATTCAGATGGATCAAAATTTAATTTAATTACCTATATGAATGCATGGGTATATGCGGAACTCCTATGGTATTATAGTGTGTGAAATCCTCCAACATTTTTATAAAGTCCGGGTGTGTTAATTTTCATATATCAATGTAAATTATCTAATATAATTGACGATAGATTTTTAGGTATTGATACTAAATGTTTCCTATGGACATTTTATATATATATAATAAATCGAGGTGTAGGGCGAAAAATTGGTTGAGATGTGGGACACATAGATGTCATTATCTGAGGAGCCATAGGTGGCGATATTGCTGGAGTCAAAGATGGTGGCATACCTTGATCAATATTTGATGTCCCATCATTGTATCCAAGATTGTTCACAAGATATTCTTTCATGGAATCCATCTGTCGTTTCATTTCAAGAATAAATTCATCTTTTTTCTTTATCTCCTCTTCTTTATCCTTTATCTCCTTTTGCAATGCTCGATATGATGAACTGGGATATGATGACTCCACTGAGTAGGAATGTGATGAAGAGCTTGTACTGACTTTAGATTTTGGCATACGAGGTGCACCATATACCCTACCCTTTGTAACTCCTCCTGAAGCCACACACCAAGCTGCTCCATCAAATGAAGGATGATTTTCCCGATTAGTTCCATACTTTGAGATCATCTCCATTTTATAATTTTCCTACAAATAAAATACATGCAACAATAAATTCATTTGAATGTTAAATGATACTTAAGTTATATTAAGAAATAATCAAATAAAAATACATACAACCACTTTTTTGGACTTGTTGTCGACGAAGCCACCAGACTGCTTAGTACTTTGATGCAAAGCTGAAAAGACATCATCCCATGGAGGTTCTTTTCCACCAGCTTCCTCTTGCTTTCAAGATTAATAAATATTATAAAAGATAAAAATACAAATTTTAATTTATTATCTTAAGCATTAAAAAAAAAAATTATAAAAGATAAAAATACAAATTTTAATTTATTATCTTAAGCATTAAAAAAAAAATTCTTACCATGTTAGCTCGATATGATGCAAATGACACTGTTCCTCCAGAATGAGTGCTTATTTTGCCATCTGTTTTGGTTAATCGATTCCTCCTAGCAGATTCAGACCTCCTTTGAAATTCAGGGGTGGACCAAACATCTTTGATCATTTGATTCCAGTCATCATTATTTATCCAGGTAGGACCTTTATCAAGGCAATCTATAATATTTGTAGTGTTTTCTTTGGACATGGCTTTCTTGCGAGCTCGTGTTAATTGTTGATTCAAAGCTATCCTTGCCTTATCTTCCCAAATATTACGAACAATCGACTCATCTTCCTCAGGAAAAGAATATTTTTTCTACCAAATAATATATATACGAAGTAAAAAAAGTGCACAAAATTTCAAATTATATAAATAATTAACATATTGTGTTATCTTTGTTCAAAATTTGCAAGATGATGTAATAACTATAGAAATTAAATGATATTAAAAAGTAAACATGAAATAAGTACAAATTATAACACAAATCAATCATAGCTAATTGATAATTTTCATAATCCTACATTAAAGTTATCAAAATTAAAAAGAATATTATGGAAATTAGTGTTGGTTCTTACCTTAAACTCTTTAAACAGTTCATCCCTGCACATTGAATCTACTTTCTCCCAAGAGTGCCATGCTCCCTTAAAATTGGACCTCAAAATATCTCCGATTGCACGTCCACACGATGCGTTATTGAACCTGAAAATATATAATAACAAACTTATATTAAACAAATAATTACACAATAAAAAGTAATTTTTTTCATACCTAAAAATATAGCCTTAATAAGTTTGTTTTTAAAAGTTTGAACTTACTCTGTTGTTCCATACAAACAAAGCTCTTTTTTTCTTGTTATTGGATCTATTGGCGTGTCAAAACCCTTCCTTTTAACACTTTGATCATAATTGTGTGGAGAACATGTTGAACCATGATATGATGGAACACCATCTTGATCCTCATCATATACACCTCTCTCATCACTATCGTCTCCCTCGTCTTCATCTCTAACATTCACATCATCATCATCACCATTAACTCTCTCATAACTCCTATACAAATTATATCCTCCATAAACAAATTGGTTATCTCGAGAGAAACCTCCTTGAGTTTGAAGCAAATCTTGGAAACGAAAGCCCTCACAATATTGATATGCATCAACCCTCCCATAATCACGTTGAGGAGGATGTGTACTCCCCAAAGTAGGTATATAATACTCATTTGCATTCTGATACACAGGTTGATGAAATGTAGATCCTTTGTTATTATGCCTAGATGTAGTTTGAAATGATTTGGATGAAGTGGACCTGTCACTCCTAGAATCTAATATGGATCCTCGTCGAGGCATGCTAAAAACCAGAAAAAATATATACATTATGATATGAATATATACACATAACAATAAATTAGCTTATAATTAAACTATGAGGAACAAAAGATTCACAATATTTTCAGTAAGCATTCCTTGCAATGATAAAAATCAGCCATGAAGTTTAAATTATCAAAAGCCAATTAACACAAACAATAATAAAAATAAAAATCTAAATAATTAATTAAGCAGAAATCAAAATTTATGAGTATACTTACCTTAATGTTTGTTCCTATTAATCAAACACTGAGTAGGAAAAACCTTTTCATTCATTCTTCAACATCTATAAGCAAGAAAATAAATCACAAAATAAAATATAACATCAGAATCACAATTTAAATATTGATACTTGAAAGGTTAGAAATTTTTTCAAAGGTCAATGAAAATGATATATGTAATGTGATACATAACACACTATGATAAAATAATAAATAAAGAACATTGAAAAAGTAAATATTGTCAAATAATATGAAATTATCCATACATATATTAAAGATAATTCATTACATATACTACAAAATATAATAACTTGCGCTACTCATTATTATCATCACTCCTAACCATCACCACCATAACAATCATCCTCATCCTCATCATCATCATCTTCTTCTTC